CGAATGTTTTTCCCTTATTCCATACTTGCTTTATTCTTCATAAGTGCTTAGCACCATATAAGGAAATTTATAAAGACCTTTTAACTAGAAGCAAGCAATCTAAAATTACATACATTTTGCAAAAGGTAAAGCATGGATCTGAAGATAATGCAGAAAAATGCTGAGGATAAGGATAACTTGCCAAAAAGAAAACGCTCTCGGTTAATTAATAGTGTTTTTAGTGATGACAATGAAAATATTGTTTAATTTATATTAATATGTATCACTTAAAAATTTTTAATAAAGATATTTATCTTAATTATGAAAATATACTAGCATGTTTTTTTAATTTTTGGAACCTAACCCTTCTTTTCGTATTAGTTCTTTGTTTCGTATAACACGGATTCGCATAACACAGAAATTTTTTGGAACGTAACTACCGTGTTATACGGGGGTTACCTGTACTAGACTTTTTATTGTACACGTGATCGCGAGACAGCGAGACAATAATAACGAAGCGATTAAATAACGTTACCAAAAAAAAGCTGCAATGACTTATTTGAAATGTATTGAGATCTGTCATTAAGACCAGGTGAAAAAATATTATGTTTACTATTGTGGTAAAGGTTAAATATTCTTCATTTTTAATTAATTTATCAAATCTTAATTGTTGCACATAAGATTCTCCATAACCTCATTTATTCCATCTGGCAGAGGAAATGGGACTCGGGTAAAAATGGGGTAACCTGGAGCTCTAGCATTTAACTTTCTATAGAAAATTGAGGACTGGAGGTAATCTCAGCTGACTTAAAATTAAAAAACAATATGTCTTTATCCTGCACGCCCAACATCTTTCTTGAGGACAAGAACTTGTATAAGAGTTTTCTCAATTACATGAACAATATCGTGTTTGCTAGGCATTGCATCCGCTGTGACTTTCTCCCCAGTGAAATCGATAACCCAAGTGAAACAAACAACATGGGCTGTTAATCATCATTGGCCTTTTCCAACGTGTATATCATTGTCAAGCAAGCATCATCTGCAGGTTAAAGTGAAGTGAACTTTACATCTGTTGTACATTGTTTCTTAATTTTGTTCCCTGTGTGAGACACTGCTTTTCGTATTTAGTTTAGTTTAGTTAATTAAATAATCGTCTCGGGACAAACGTGCATAAAACTTTTATACTTCCATCCTTCTCTAGCCACCTGTCTTTCTCTTTCTCTTTACCTCTTTTCTTCTCACTATCTCAATTCTAACTCTCTCCTACGCTTACCTTCAGGCTATATTTGTCGGTGAAGCCATCATCTCTACTAAGAAAAATTGTTGCATATGACAATAGCGAGATTACAGCGCTCTCAAACTATGATAAAATTTACTGCAGTTCATGAACAGGTATTGGTTTTCTAAAAAGTTCTTTAAAATAAAAGTCATAAACTTGACAATTACTGTGGAAATCGCATCAGAACATGTCAGTTGACAAATGCTAAAAAGTGTGAATTTCAACTGTTTTATTTTAAAGCAATTCAAAAAAAACTGCAATGTATCTGCGAAATACATACCCACCTAGACGCAGTTAATAAACGAAAATTCTTAAATTTATATATTACAGTCGCTCATTCATAAAATTCCAAATATACAAAAATTAATCGCATCAGAATTATATAAGGCGTCGTGTCACAAAACGTTATAAAATAATCTAAAAAACCGATGGAAAAATTAAATTATTTTCGGTTCAAATTTGAGTTTATTATGAAGTTATTCGCTTTAAATCAACGTGGTTACAATAGTCAAAGGGTAATTTTTTCAGATTTTTCAAACAATTTAAATTTTTATGTGAACTAATTAAAAGTGTGAACGCGTGATAACAGGTTTAATTTAGAAAATTGCTTTAGTACAATAAAATCAGCGTGCTGCAAGTCATTAAAATAAAAACTTTTATTATTAATTTGCGAATATTTCATTATTACAGATCTATGAAGCATATAAATTAGTTGAAAAGACAATAATGTTTTTAACAACAGATTGCAGTAATTTAGATTCTTTCACTATTTCACTCACAATACCAAAGAATGTTAGAGATTTAGTATCGCTGTAAAACGATTCCAGAAGTTTTTCCATTCGAGATTATTCTTCTTCCACAGATTATTTCCACCAATAAAATAGTCTCAGAGAAAATATCTCTTCGGAAGCACAACTGATGTTAGTTCATAGTGTATTTTATCAGTTATGTTGCCAAACCTTTGTTTTCAATCCACCCCTTAGACACCGTGTTTCCCCGAAAATAAGTACAGGTAACCCCCGTATAACACGGTACTTCTATAGCACGGATTCGCTCTAACACGGTTCGAAAATTGGTACCATCCCCCATATAACACGGTAATTTTATAGCACGGATTTACTCTGACACGGTTCGAGAATTGGGTAAAACCCTCGTACAACAGAAAATGTAATAAATTTTTACATACTTAAGTAATAATAGTTTACGAAAATTATTATTTTCGTGAACTATTAGTACTTAAGTATGTAATTCTTTTTTCTCGCCTTCTGTCGATACACGTGGTCCTTCTCGAAACTTGTTTCAATGTTGCCAGATCGCGACGCTTCTGCTTCTGATGTTGCCGATGTTTTTTCCTTGTTTCATAAGTGCTTAGCACCATATAAGGAAATTTATAAAGACCGTTTAACTAGAAACAAGCAACCTAAAATTACATACACTTTTTGCAAAAGGTAAAGCATGAATCTGAAAATAATGCAGAAAAATGCTGAGAGGATAAGGATAACTTGCCAAAAACAAAACGCTCTCGGTTAATTAATAGTGATGACGGTAGTGATGACGAAAAAAATATTGTTTAATTTATATTAATATGTATCACTTAATAAATTATAATGAAGATATTTGTTTTAATTATGAAAATATACTAGCATGTTTTTTAATATTTGGAACCCAACCCTCCTTTTCGTATTAGTTCTTTGTTTCGTATAACACGGATTCGCATAACACGGCAAATTTTTGGAACGTAACTACCGTGTTATACAAGGGTTACCTGTATTATATTAATTTTTGCTCTGAAAAATGCGCTAGGTCTTATTTTCAGGAATGTCTTATTTTCTCCAGGAAGAAGAATTCACATTTATTATTGAACAAAAAAATTTCCAAGACAAACTTAGGCGAGAGTGACGTATATCCGGTGTGTCTAACTGTCGCCTTTTTATAGCGACAACATCGGACCCGATGACCAATTAGTGCTTACTGAACCGTAGCACTATGCAAATGTCATGTGGCGTGATTCACGGCCGACCAATTAGCCATCACCAGCCGTAACGTTATGCAAATCTGTGATTCTCAAGCCATAGTCTTATGCAAATCATGCCGTGTGGCGTAATTGTCTGATGACCAATCAGTGGCTGTACTTTGAAAAAGCCAACGGCCACTTTCAACCATCTGTCGATGACCATTACGACCTAAAAATCTTCGCTACGTTTTACTTTCAGGGGAAGGTGTTATATTTCGCAATTCAGCAAAATCTGTGCTAGGTCTTATTTTCTGCGGATGTCTTATTTTCGAGGAAACACGGTATATTTATTTTTTAAAACCGTTTTAAAATTTATAAATCAATAAGGACTAACGCAGTTTTTCTATTTTTGATTACGCGCGATAAGATTTCCAAAACTAGGTTTCTCATTGATTGTTGATTCACCTTTAGAATTGTATGTGTAATGGCTTCAATTTAACATCTTAAGTTAAATGTTGTATATATTTTTGATATAATTGAGATTTAAATAAAATTATTTGTTTAATAAATCTATGACAGTCACTCGCTGCTTTGTTCAGTTCAGATACTTTTTCTTAGTTTTGGTCAGATACAACAGATACTCTGACAAGTTCTTTAGGAGCACAAACGTTTCTTTGTTATTTTGTCATGTGTCTAGGCACGAAAGGCGCTATCGCAATTTGGTGCATGCGGTAATCGTTTTGTTTCAGTTTCAAAAATCAATTTTTCAAAAATAATCGTTTTATTCCTGGTTTTCTTCATGTTAAATGTTTGTGGGAGTGTGTTTCTAAAGTCATAATCAACAGAACTACTCAGAATACAGGTAACCCCCGTATAACAGGGCTATTACGTTCCAAAAATTGCCGTGTTGTGCGAATCCGTGTTATACGAAACAAAGAACTAGTGCGAAAAGGGGAGTTAGCTTCCAAAAATTAAAAAAATGCTGTTCAATCCTTATTTAAATCGGATTTATTATTTATTTTTTTCATAGGTAAATTAGTTATTTATTATTTAAGTAAATATTTTACCAGAGGATTACTGTATTTATCATATATGATGACCTCAGCATGAGCATTATCAACTGGTAACAGTTTTTGATGCGTTCGTTAATAGCGGTCGCTCTGCAACGGGGGTGCGTTGCATTTTTTAGGCATTTAGGAACGACGGTGAAAGAAAGATGGCGGCGACCGCACTATCGATAGTATTGTGATGGAGGAATCTATAATTTTAAAATATGAGCTTTTAAAGGCAGAAGAGTCTCAATTGTAAAATTTAACCATTAAACGGATTATTGTTGAAAGAGCATTCAAAGTAGCCACGAAAACAATTAGAATGCTTGCGCATAAATGCGTAGACTATTGTAAATATTCTCTGTTTCTAAATGTTTTTATTTCTTTAAGTGTGTTGTAATAGTTATGGAAGAATAAAAAGACAAACTTAATTATCATTTAAAAGTAATAATTCTACTAAATTAATTATAATAAATCAAATTATAAACGTATAAATATTTTTGTGGTAATTGATGTGTAAGCTTTAGATAGTAGTTATTTTCAATGTTGGTCTTCTATAAAATATAATGGCTTCAAACAAGTAAAGAATATATCAATATTTTTTTTTAAAGTTAGCGCACGTTATTGAAATCTAATAAACGAAAAAGATGAAAATATGAAAATTTAAATAGAATTGATATATTTTGAATTTATCCATCTTTTACATTATTTTGAAAAAAAAAACATTTATATAATTCCGAAATTTAAAACTACAATTTATTACTGTTTATTCATTACTGTTGACACAGTACAAATAAAGACATGACAAAAGATAATTTTTTTCCTTTTTCCTTTTACAATCTGGTAGTTCAAGGCCTATACTAAATTTTATAAATTATTTCAATCGATTTATTGCATTTGTTTTAGAAATATTATTTACAGTTGTTTATGAAAAGATGTAACTGTTTCTACGTAAAGTAATAAATTAATAGAAAGCATTTTAAAATACAAAATCAATACTGTTTTTGTATGACAATAGAAATTCTTTCAAATGATCAACGTAAAAATAAATTTATTAAAAATAATTTATAATGCTTATTGTTGACTGTAGAGTATATAATTATGAAATGTAATTGAAAACGAAAGTAAAAAAATCACTTGTTCACTTTTATTAAGTTTATTTGTCTGCAGTTATTATGATAATTCTAATAATATAAGTACAACAAAAGCTCAATAAGGCAAAAAAGTACAGTCGCAATAATAAAGTTCGTTTTATCATGATTATTATATTTTACAGACTCACATGTTGTGGACAAATTTGAAGTTTTAAAATATATAACCTTGATTTTTATTAAATCAAGCTATTATTAAATCTGAAATATAAATCAAAAACTAATAACTTCATTTTTTCTTATAATCTATGGATTTGCTTTAAATAAAAACTCAAAGACTTGTTTCTCAATGAAAAATCGAAATCCGAAACTGAAGAAATTTAGTGTTTACAAAGGAAAATAAAAGCAGACAAAATGTGAAAATAAACATTATTAATGATGAAAATTTAATTATGTTCTAATATGTACTTATATGCTATTGTCGTATATGAAATAAATTTTTGAAAATTCAGTCATTTGTTGTAAGCTTTCCTGCGGCAAAATTCTACAATTCGAAATTCATTACTAGAAACTAATCTGTAATAAACATTTTTAGTAGGAGAGTCCAACAGTTCCTTCGTTTGGAGAGTAGCAGGTTTTGGGGTAAATACATATACTATATATAATAATTAATACATCAAAATAATTAAACAATTGTCTATAAGTAACAATTACCTCTTGTTTTCAGCATCCGTTGTTTATGGTGTATGACGAAACCGAAACTCAAATAACAGGTGGAGCGTTCTTTCCGCTTTTTAAAGTTATCCACGATGAACTAAAATTTAGGTAATTTTACGTCTAAGGGTGATCCTTATTAAAAACTATTATATCTACTTACCATACTTAATTTTTTAAATCTACAGCCTTTTTTATGATCTGAATATATCATTTATAAATATTTTCTTTAGAAGTTGCTTTATAAACCATCGTAAATAGCTTTAAAATATAACACATTTTATCATGTTTAGTGTTTAGTTTGAAAACAAAGAGACATAAGGCATTGTTAAAAACTCTTATTCGCAAATATATACCTACGTTATTCATGATTTCTTACTAGTTTTCGGTTGTTTTTTACACTCTGATAGACAGGGGGTAATGTTGTGTCTAACTAAATTTTCAACTGTTATATTCAAAAAAAATTTTTGTATTTTTCTATTATAGCATCCTGCATCGAATGAAAGCATAGGAGAAAACATTTTATATTTGGAAAAAAAACGATAAAAATTAATTTCTGTATTAATTATCCGCTGTGTTGTACAGTAAAGTCATAATTATGGTAACTGCAGACAAAAAAATTACGCTTTTTTACTAAACATATGATTTCATGGTATAAAGCAATGTTTCATCTTATTTTATTGTATGAATTTATCAAATTTTAGACAACGCAATGTATAAAAAGTATGTTTCTACACGCTGATAATTAAAAGAAATTGTGCTTTGTTGTTAATAGCAATTTTGTTTATAAAAACAGTTTTGATAATACAAATTTATCAAATATTTATAGCATTAAAAAATGAAAATTTTTTAAATAATTTTCATTTTTTAATGCTATAAATATTTTGATCAATTTGTAGTATCAAAAGTTCGATTTGATACTTCAAATACAATACAATTTCACAAATACAATACAGTTTAACAAATACAATACAATTCGATATATATGTATGCGCATTTCGGTATATTATGTTCATAAAATTCTAACATAAATATCATATAATTCATGATGTGCAAAATTTCAATGCTCAATCAATCCTGAATGAATTGCTTGTATATTTCAAGTACGCGTATGTAGTAACACTTGGCATGAGAGATAATCGACCATAAATCACTGCAGAAATAAAAATATAACGTAAAAGAAAATACTCAAGCATAAACTGTAAATGCTTGCATGAAATGTTGCATTTTACAAACAGGAAACTTCACATAGCTTTTGAAATAAATTTGCAAAAACAATTATAGGAAATACGACTTCGAGTTAAATGAAGACAATAGCTCATACTTATTGTGAAAAAGGAACTGTAAAAGATAGCATAAGAAAAAATACATGTAAATGCTTTCGAAATGGATGAAGTTTTAACTGCACAAATTAATAGCTAAGCAGTAAAAAAGTATTAAAAAATAAAAAAAGGAAATTTCGACAAGGCAGAGAGCAAAGCAACACAAACCAACATAATCGCACATACAAAATAGTATAGAAATGGTTATAACATGTTACACACATAGACACAAAACAAGAATAATCAACGAAATGAAAAATGTGATATTAAATATAATAGAACATTTATAAACCAGAAGAAATAAATATTTTTTAAATAATTAACGCAAATTTTATTAGACCCTAGGTGTTTTATATTGTTAGATAATAGAAAAAATTCAGAAATTAAATAAGTAATCGTAATTATTGATGCGTTATCACAATTTTTCTGTTATGAATTAGTGGAATGGCATCTGAGGTGCCCCAGATGCAAAAGCATTCATTACCATAACGCAATTGACGTATGGTTAAATGAATAATTGCTCGCAGTGTAGGTGTTCAGTGTGATTTCGCAAACACAAAGCAATCAAAGATCAAAACTCACTTTGAAGTTATGAAGTATCCGTGTTGCACAAATGCTGTCGTTTACGAAAAATGCTAAGATTTCAGTACAATCGCAATCATGATAAAAAGAAATCTAATTTTTTACGTTTCCCTAGATTATCTAATAGTATTAAAGTTTAATTTTTTAATTCTTGGACTAAGCATAATAAGAAATTCCAAAAATTGCAAAATTTTCACTTAGTATACCTAAGTTCGTTTACAGATTTTATTTCAAATTCACAGATGACTTATATGGATTTTTTTTTATATTATACAAACTTTAAATTTCTTTCATTGATTTCAGATATCATATGAATAATATAGATACCTGTAAAAAATATATACTGAAAACAATGTTAAAAAAGCTCTTATTGTTTCTTAAACTGAAGAAAGTTATGTATATATCTAATTATGAAATTCGTTTAGTTATTTTGTAGTGCATCCGATTCTTGATCATTTAGGATATATAAATCGAAGTGGTACGTGGGTTGGAATTACAGGACAAGTTGCAAAACAAGTAAGTAAAATCTAAATAACAAGTAAATTAAGTGTAAAATACTATTGTAATTGCAGAAACATTATATGATCACTCTTACACATGAAAATAAAACAACTTAATTCGTTGCTGAGAAAAATATATGATTTTAAACAAACGTTTTCATCTCGATTAACAGATTATCATTAGATCAGAAACGAAAATGGAACAGATACGTTCTATGTATAGAATACAAATATTTATATCAAAATTTAGAACAATTTTTTTAAATATACAAGAAAAACGGGAAAACATATAACATTAACACAAAATCAAATAAAAAAATAAAAATATTATATATCTTCTGTGAAAAACCAAGGGTATACGTAAAAACCAAGGGTATAGGTATGTTACCTATATCACTTACTGGCGCACACTCGTGAGATCGTCTCTCTAAACTTTTTATAAGAGGGCGAGAAAAATGTTTATAAACGATCTAGAGGGTAAATTCTAGATCTTGTCAGGTCCCAACACCAGTTTATCACATTTATATTCCGCGGATAAACACGCGAATAAGGATCTGATTCATAGATCGAGGAGACATTATATTAACTAATAATAAAAGGAATTTAATAAACATATATACAGTGAAAACTGCTTAGGCGACCACCTGCATTCGACGGGAACCTGTCAAAACGGGCGAAAATTTCTGGCACGGAATAGTTTATCCATAGAGTCTTCGTATAAGTTACCTGTATTAAACGACCACCTGTGTAACGCGACCGCGGGCATCGATTTTTGGTCCGAAACAACATACAACACCTGTAATAAGCGACCACTTTCGCGAATGTATCTGGTCTAAACTATTGTAAGAACCCATCTCAACAACGTTTCCACCTCCTAATATAATGAATTAGTCTAAACTCTCGTTCGAACCCATCC